GGTCCAAGTGTTATCAATTCGTGGTGTGACGCTCCGAGATTTGTCTGAAATTATGAGCTTCAAAAGCGGCATTTAGTCGAAATTCAGTTATGATCGAATTTTCTCAAAAATAAATTGATATTCAACCAAACGAAGTATGCAGTGCTGTTTCCCCATAAGGCCTACCTAACTTGAGAATATGAGCTGAATCGATTTTTTGGCTGTTGCCACCAAATGTTTGACCCTTGGTAACATTCGCTCTTAAATAGTAATGGTTGTCCCGCATGATTAAGTAGTTGCAAATAGTCACTGTTATTATCATTAAATGACATTGACCACAATGATGCCACATGACACAGCAATAATATAAATGTGGCAATTAAAAGATAGGCACTGTCACCCTTTGGCGACTTCTTGGAGACATGGCCAGCTGAAAAGTGTTTTCCATATTCTAGGAATTCGAATGGCATCCGGGGCAATCCTTTTTCATGCCTAATCTATGTCGATACTCCATTCGGCAGGAAATTTGAGTGATGTAGGTCTACGAATGCCATACAATAGCTTTCATAACTATTTCGTTGGGCTGTGTAGCGATATTTCAGCATTCACATTAAACAATAATTGCTCAATCCTACATAACACAACTCTAGGGTGCCATTTTCGGCCTCAAAACGACGATTAGACTCTCCTAGAAATATTCAAGTACAACAATCTCCGTCCATTTCTTGGTTAAGAGCCTGCGCAAAAGTTTAAGGGATAATATGATGTCACAGACTAACACATAGTCATTTTGCAGTTTGAGTAATGGAGGACACTGAATCAAGGAAAACAAGTGTAAAAAAAAAACAGACTTCCACTTCGAATTTTCATTCCAAATTTCGTGAGAGTGGTAAGTAGCCGGTAAGGATTGTAAAAAGTGAAAAATCTGGCAAACGCTAAATTTGGTCTCAGTAGCACTTTAAAGACAAATCTTATAAAAACAGTCCAGCCCAACAAATATTTTATAAATGTTTCACCTAAGTACAAGTGTGCGTATCTTCTGAGTTAATGGTGCTTTGCATGTTGGGCAATTTACACCCTTGACATGACAGTCGAACAAGTTTGCTTTCTTTAAAAGACAGAAGAAAAAGATGACAGCAATCATGTCGCCATACATGTTAAAGGTGTGATTTGTAGGAATATAGTTTCTCTTGGTTTCAAGTGTTTAACTTACAAGTAATAATACTATGGTTTTTGAGAGACAAAAAAGGTGCATAACATGTATGGGTACATTACAGGCCACTTACCTCCTCAGCTGGGTACACATACTTTTCCATAAAAGCATTCATTTTTTTGTAGAGTCTTTGAGCCTTCACAGATGGCTGGAAGATGGAGGACATATTTTCCATGGGCATCTTTTGTTTACTTAAATTAAATTAAAAAAATTAATATAAGTTTGCAAGATAGTTAATGTTGAAATTTTCATAGAGGAAAAACTTGTTTTCAACAAAGATACGGTAAATCACAACAAATTAATTGTAATTTAAAATTGTCTTAAACATTATAGTTCCAAGGTATTAAAGGTATAATAAGGTACAAAGATTGTCCAAGCATTATGGACCTAATTAGAAACATTCATTTGATAATTTAAAGTACAGTTTAGGCACAAGGTAAGATAAAAGTATTTTAGGACTTACTGGGCCTGAAGGGCCACCTTTAATCCAGCACATGCCAGTGGCTCAACAAGATTTCCAAACAAAGAAGCATTTTTAGCACTTGCATTTCCATGGATGGCCCTTGCATAGATTCCCTACAGGATACAATTCATACCATAATGTGTGACAGAATGCCTTAGACTGAAACAGCAGCTGGTCAACAAGCCATCTATTGCTAAGATCATAATTTGTAATTGTATACTTCCAAATAATAACATGATCCCATCTAAAAGTAGTCTACTAAGATCAAGAATAAGGTTAGATGCTCTTACTCATAAAGGCAACATTGTGACTACAATTTTAAAAGAGAAGGCCATGGACTTCAGGCATAACAAGACATAATATGAAATGTTCTATTAATGATATAATTGGTTGCTAGGAATTATTAGTATATACATAAGACAAAAAGAAAACAATACTGTACAAAACAAAGTAGGAAAAGAGAAGGGTCTGGTATAGTTGATTTCGAGTGTAATTAACAAAGCTCATTAACTCATTTTTATAGAAGAAAATTAAGTACATACTTATATACAAGTATATGTCAAATACTTAGTAAACAGAAAAAAAAGAGTGAAATGGTAACTCTAGCACAGTATGTCCATAGACATCTGAAATAGGAGGCAATTTGCTACAAATAATTCAAGTTCACACATATGTTTATTTCCATCTTGTGCAAATTTTAGATTTATAACAGATAAATGTTTGTAGGGGCTGCTCCCAGCCAAATTTTGGATACGTTTTCAATATCATCCAGATCAACAAGATCTTGTAATCAATTTAATATTATTAGGGTAAAGTCTGAACTTAGAAGAAGACTGAAAACCACTATGGCGAGCTCAGGACTCCCTCTTTAAATATTTTTTAATAATAATAATATAGAGGCCCAAATATCTGGAACTTTATAAATAAAAAAGTTAAACTATGTGATGTTAGCAAAGAAGGTTTTAAAGCAATACTTAGAAAACACTCGAAAGATATTTAAATTTTTCAATCAATAAGGAAGCTATTGTAATTTCAAACAAGAATGATGACTACTTTTTATTAATTTTATTCATTCATCAAGTCCATTAATAAGTTTATTTATTATTATTATCTATTATCTATTTTAATCTATGCCTGCCTACAGGAGTACTGTTATGAGGTGTCTAATCTCTGTGGCATCTTTCGTGAAATTAGGCATAAGGAGTAATTGTAATTGTGATTGTCTTAGTCTATATTTTATTTCATCTATTTTAAATAGTTTTACATAGTAGGTCCACATCAGGTGATAGCTGCTGATGCAACTATTACTTAATTTTTGTAATTTTAACCTGCTTTATCAAATAAAGAATTGATTGATTAATTGATTGCTTTCAGTCAGATGTAGGAATATTAATGCAAATATAATCATGCTGTACTTGCCATAAAAAACCATACTTGATGACAAACTAAAATAAGCCCCTGATTAGTGACCAAGCTCTGTCAAGTAGCCATCTTTTGTCATTTCCAGAGTGGCTACCTAATAAGCATTTCACTCGAATAACATTACCTGGGCTATAGCTGCCACTCTAAAAAATGACAATGCAATGTAAAAGTTCCAATGTTGAGGAAGGATATCCCCAAGTCCTCTCAATTCACAGTACTGAGAAATAAGATCCTTTTCTGATGGAATTCCTGGGGCCAAGAACCCTATCAAGAGAGAAAAAAAGCTCTATAATGCATTGCTTATGCACTCCATGTGGCAGTCCCATTGGTTGCAATAACAAGTACAAAAAAGTTTGGGGAGTGATTTTACACAGCCAAAGTTGCATTTGGCAGCTGGTGTTGGGCACTCATGTAGCAGGCTGTAGCCTTTAATCCTAACAACTGCTGTGGTTAGCATAATAAATCTTTAAACTTTAAACTTTACACTTTAATGATAAATACTCCCAAAAAAAAGGTTTTTCAGTACCTATTTACAAATATGAATGCTAACTATATCTGACAAGCTATTGTTAAATTCTAAATTCTAACTGTCACTCGATCATTAGTTCATGGCAAGTTTCAGGACTTTCTTAAAGGCCTTTACAGATGTAACGTTTCTCAGGTCTTCGTCTCACATGTTCCACAGAGATACTGTTCTATAGGCAAAGCACCTTTGGCCGGTAGCTGATCTGAATAATGGAATGTCAATCTTCTCATTATTATGAGTTATGCTATTATGTACAGAAGATCATTTTTTAAACTTAGCACATAGATATTCAGGAGCTAAATTGTTGACACACTTATAAGCTATAACAGCATCTCTGAATTTGAGTATTTTGTCAACTGGAAGCCAGTTGAGTTCATCCAGTAATGGCGTTACATGGTCAAATTTCCGAGCGCCACAGATGATTTTGCAGGCGAAATTCTGGAAGAGTTGCAGCTTTTGCATGTTCTTAGACGAGGTATTAGACCACATGGACAAACAGTAAAACATTTTGCTAAAGACAAGAGATGTAATAATTAAAACTCAAGTCTCTCTATCAAAACAGTATTTCACGCCGTTGATCTGAACCAGTCTAGTCATGCAAGAAGAGACTAAGTGGCAGATATGAGTGTCATAGGTCAGATGTGAATCTATGTATACTCCTAGATCTCTTGCCGATTTGACGGCTGTGAGAGTCCTTCCAATAAATGAAACAGTAAAATTAACAGAATGTTTACTTATCATTTGCTTAGTGCCAATCAACATTAGCTTTGTTTTCCCAGGGTTTATTAACAAATCATTTGCACAACACCAGTTGGCAACGTTATGCAAATCATCTTTGAGCTTGAACTTAGCGTCAATGACGACGGCTAAGGAAAAAGATAGCAAAACTTTAGAGTCATCAACATATCACTCGAGCTAGCAGAATTGAGTAGCATTTGGCAGATCATTTAAATAGATACAGAAGAGGAGCGGCAAAAGAATTGCTCCCTAGGGGACTCCATGTGTGTGATTGGTAATGGATCTGAAAACACAGAATCTTTACGCACTGATTGGATCCGATCTGAAAGGTAGCTGCGGAACCACTGAACTAGCGTGGGTGAAGCACCTACAGTGGAGAGCTTCTGGAGTAACTTATGATGGCAAATACTGTCGAAAGCTTTTGAGGGTCGAGTAAGACTAATGCGCTGATTTCCTTTTTGTCCATCGCCTCTAAAATTAGATCCGTAGTATAAATATTCAAGGTCTCAGTTGAATGGAATGACTTATTGCCGCTTTGATGGAATGACAAACGGTTACGTGACGTTACGTTAGTGATAAATTGTTCTAGAACAATTTTCTCACAAATTTTAGACGTAACATTAAGTAAAGAAAATGGCCGATTGTTCAGAGGTTTTTCGTGATCTCCCTCTTTTAGGACTGGGATGACCTCAGTGATCTTCCAGTCTGATGGAAAAGTAGAGGTACTGAGTGAGCAGTTGATTATCTCAGTAATAGGCCTGAGTATTACTTGTAGGGCGTGTCTTGGAAAACTCTAGCTTTGGTTTTGTAGGGTCCTGGTGCTCTGTTTAAAGGTAAGGACAAGATGACACGCCTCACAATTTGGATGCTCACGGGAGTGAACTCGAAGCAATCATCAGAAGATGATATAAGATCTGGTGTAAATGAGTTTGAAGGCATGATATTATTTCCTGATGCCAGCTTTGCAACAGCTTCAGATATGTACAGAAACACTATCTACAATGTGTGTTTGCTATAATGGTGAATTTGTTTTTAGTGCTCTCTGTTTCATTACTTTTTATAATAATAATAATAATGGTCTATTAAACTCTCTTGCAGTAACTTACTGAATTAACGAGTTATGATACAATGAAAACTTAATAAGAACGACTATGTACATTTCTGTATACATTAAGTACAAGTTATATACACCACACGGAACATACATCACATTTGTTAAAAATACTTAAAAGTTAAAAAGTCTTCGGTGCGCTTCGTTCTACAGGTAGTAACGTTTCTGTAAAGATACAACTGGTCTGATTTGTGCCTGAGGTTATAGGGACAGGTATCGTCTAAGCGTGTTGGTAGAAGAGGATGGAGAGGGTGGTTTAAGTCCTTCATTTTGCACATATACTCTTTACATATCTTATCTCTTCTATACGCAAGGGTCTCCACCCGTGCTAACTCGAGGGCTTCTGAGTAACTATCGGCACATGGGAAAATTATCTTAAGCGCCCTTTTCTGTATGGATTCAATTTTGTCAGACAGATAACCTGGAATGGATTGCCATACTGGTACGGCGTACTCTATAACAGATCTAACAGCGCTTGTATAGACCTTTAACATGCTACCTTGGTCAACGCCGGCTCGACGTAGAATACGTAGAGAGTAGAGCTTCTTGCAAGCTTTTTTATATATGTAGTTAACATGACTATTCCACCTAAGGTCGCTATCGATGAATACTCCTAGAATCTTGTAAGTCGATACGCGTTCTATAGTGTTATTACCAATAACTAATGGTCTGAGAGTAAAATTAGGATACGACATAAAGTTAATTAACATCTCTTTACATTTAGTAGGGTTTAGTCTCATGTTATGGTCCATGGAGAATTCGTGAATGTTAGAAACGATCGTATTGAGCAGACTGATAGAGTTCCTGGGTAGTATTTCTATGGCAGACGTGTCATCCACAAACTTGACTCTCAGGTGCCAATCAGCTAAAAGATTGTTTGTCATTATTGTGAAAAGTATCACTCCTAATTTAGTTCCCTGCGGCACACCTCCCTTGAGGAATTTCCA